TAGCATCCTATGATTCATAGAATGTCTACTCATTCCTCTTTCTGATTATATTATACATAATTTGCAAAACCATAAATAAAATAGTTCAATGTCTTCTTTGGGAAGAATAGTCACTACTCTGGAAAAAGATTGAAGAAGTGATGTTTCTTGCCGACTTTTCACTCAAAGATACATTGTACGTTGTAGGAATCACTTAACACACTTATATTGATCTTAGTCATGCATATTATTAAATAAAACTGAACAATAGACACCAGACCCTGTGAAAATCTCTGGCAGCATTCCAATTTCCTTTATTCAAAAACCACAGAAATTAATAGTCAAATAATAACTGACCTGGAATCACTGACACATTTTTTACTTCAAAGAGTAAAATCTGCAAGATTTTAAAGTAACTTTTCCTTCTTAGTTTCCTTGCTTAATGTTTGACAATGTATTTGTTCTATGTGCACAACATTGATTAGAAGGGTCATGATTGATGGAGGGCTGAGACAATCCAAAAAAATCAGTCTGACCTTTTTCTATTAGTAATCAACGCTACACTTCACTTCATGACAAAACTATCACAGATTAGCCAAAATTATTATTGATCTTCTGTGTCATTTGTTAGGCCTTTCATTAGAACGTTAAGCTCTAATAAAGGTTTGTCTCCATTTGGTAAATGGTTCTGAATCACTTGGCTAGCTCTTTGCCTGTTGGAATGCCTCATCATCAGACTGTCTAATTAACTGAGTTGATATGGTCATACAAATGGGTTACTGTTATAAAATAGGGGGAATTTATTATAGGGTGATTCAAATTAATCTGTACGTCAGTTCAAATAACTATACTGATGGAATTTACTTACTTCTGTCATCTTAAAGACTGAATCCTATGGCAATCAAATCTGCTCCAGTTGTAAAGAAGATACATATTGAGTTGTATGCACAAGCTCTTAAAATATCAATACCAATTTGTATATATATTTTAAAATTATGTACCTGAAAGTCTTTAAAAATGTAATTTTGTGAACACAGATTAATCGATACTCATTAAATATTGAGTATCCACGATGTGCAAGAAAGATATTGTTTTGAATTCCATAATATGTATTGATTTTGAGGGGGCAGTATGATGCAATGAAAAGAGTCATGGTCTTTGCAAAGTTGTGAGTTGGAATGAATGCTTTGCCATTTATTAACCATGTGACTCTGAACAAGTCACTCACAACCTACCTGAGCCTCACCTTTCTCCTATGTCAAGCAGGAAAAATAATACTTATCTTATATACCCCAATGGTTGTTGTGAGGAAATCCCCTTTATGGAAATACTATGGAAACCTGTGTGCTTAGCTAAAATGAAAATACTATATGAAGAAAAGGGATATCTTAATTTATGAGTTCTTCCAATAATTAAGGCAGCCCTGGACTAGTGGATAGAAATCTGGCCTTAAAGCCAGAGAATGTCTGGGTTCAAATATTTTCTTTTTCTTTTTTTCCTTTCTTCTTTTTTTCTGAAACATAGTAGGTGCATAATAAATGCTCCTTGACTTGATTTCAGGTCCCACCTCTGACATATACTGGTGTGGGACCCTGGGCAAGTCACTTAACCTTTTAGTGCTCTGGGCACCTAAGACCTAAAGTTGCAGTAGAAGTGCCAGCCTTCATTAGCAAGAGGGAGTTTCATCATCTGATCCTTCCCTATACCAATGTAATCACAGGTCTATTCCTGATTCTTGTCCCTATCCATTAATTATTACTCTTCTGATTCCCAAATGATGGAGATAATGCCTAAAAAGAAGAGTTAGTTTACAGGAGAAAGTAAGATGCAAATAAACAAGGTATGGACATCGACATTCTTAAATAGTTTAAATTACTGAATAGTACACAAATTATATTAGTGGTAAACAATATCAAACAATAAATTGCAATAAAATTCCAGAGGCCACATTTTTAAAACTAAGTGAATTAAAACCTCTACTAATAAGAAGCAGCAGTAGTCTTGTCATTTGACAAGTTTAAAATTTCTGATTTGAAAAGCAAATTTTAAACCAAACCTATTGACAATAGAGATTTTTCATGATAATGTTAGCATTGTCATGAAAATACTAAAACAGTAAAATTAACACAAAGCAACCTTCATGCATTTCTGTAGAGAACCAGACATAAAAGTATAATATTTCTAAAGTTCTTAACCAGAAAATTATATTATCTAGTTATAAAAACTGATATTGAGTTATCTAATTTTCATAATTTAAGTTAAATGAATTCCTTGAAAAAAAAGATGTTGACTTTTAACAACCCTTTATTTTAACAATTATTGTATTAATAATACTATGGACTTTTCTATGCATACTCAAGAGTGCATTTGGATATTCTACTGTGTACCCTTCACTATCCATGAATTTAGTAACTACAGCCACACTGAGTGAGTGGACTCAGAAGCAGTGAATTCAGAAGAGTGGGATGCAATACTGCAATAATGCTTATGTAATCTGTCACATTATAAAAACTCTTTCAAGGCATGGAACTCTGGATGAGTAATTGTCATTTATTTCTTCAAAGACTTTTAGTCAGTTTCATATGAATCTTTAATGTTTTATGTGTACCTTGAAAAATTTATTTCGTACTCAATTTGTAATATTCTCAGGGAGCTAGAGGCCAACAAAATTAACATGGAAAAATGTGAAAAAGGCAAATTAGGATTAAAAACTATGTTGTAGCCTTTGAGCTATATCAAGCTAATTTATATACTAAAACTGAGGCTACATAATATGAGGATGCTTACCAAAATATGTTACCAAATAAAACTATCACTAGCACTTAACAGGAATATTTGAGACTATCGCTTCAAACAATAAGGAAAATCTCTTAGTGAGGAAAAAAATAATTTTTATTTTGAAGAAAATAAAGCCATCCCTGTCTCCCACCTCTCAGAAATCTTTACCATGACTAATGAAAAGAAGTGCCAGATTTTTTCCAGAGAGCTCTGATGAAAGGTTAGGATACAAGTAATGCAGGCATTTCTGTTGTGTATTCTTTCACATAATTACCTCACTTAAAAAAAAATGACTCCTTCGGTTAGTTTCCTCTCAAAATCCTATTAACTATGTACCTCTATATTCCCTTATATTATTTAACTTTAGAATTAATAATCTGTCACTGATATTATTTCCTGCATCAGTTAAACATATGCTGGGAGAGAACTGAGTCCTGTCTTAGTTTTTATTCAAGGAATATGAGAAAAACAAACCCTAGAGTAGATAGAATGCAACACCTTGAATGAGTAGCTTAATTAAAAACAACTGATCTATTATGAATCAAGGAATCTTTTTTTTTTTAGACTTAGAATGTTATTTGTCTAGAATTCCAGGTACTGTCTGCAGCCTGATCCTCTACAAGATAGAAAAAGAGCCAACAGAAGCAGAGCCAAACAGTATGGTAAGGATTGGGGGCATCTGTAAAATCACCAAAATGGGGCCTGAAAATCATCTATTCTATATGAATCAAAAATGAATGAAAAATATTGTTAAATAATTAGTGTACATTCAGTCAAATGTCCAGTTAACAAATATCAATGCATAACTCTATACTCTAGGAAGGGGAAACGATTTCACATTCACTGTAGCAGTGAATGTGAAGGTGAAGGTTAAGAGGGTTGCAGAACACTTCTCAAAAGATACACTCATGGAATTGCCATACAGTCACTGCCCTAGTTTTTCTTTTAGGTAAATCACCTACCAGGATTTCATAGGTAAGATGATGCCATTCAAACAGCATGTCCCAGTTTTAGGTATTTAGTTAAAACCTTTCATCAGTACAAAAGATTTTAACCTTCTTAGGATATGGAGGGAACAAAATATAGAGGAATAAAGACAGGAGAAAGAGAGAGATGCTGTGGAAATCTGCTTTGAGGTGATGATCCATTGAGAAGCAAAGATCCAAAAAGCAGCAGGAAAAGAGAATCGAAAGAGCAGGAAAAAGGAAGGTATTTCCTTATTTCAATTAATTAAACAGTTTTATGGGTTTTCCCAGATCAAGAAGACTTTCATCACTAACTTCCTAATGATGATTTCCGGTTAGCATAATTTTCACCTTTGGGAGGCACCAGATTTCACTGAGAATGAGTGAGAAAAGAAACAGATTGACCAATCCTTACTTACCACAGATTTTATCCCCAAATCTGCAAATGGCTCCATCTGAAATGTTTTATAGAAGGAACAGATTTCCTGGGGATTGCTAAATTATAGTTTCAATCTTCATAATAAATTTTTGAAAGACAGAGTTAGAGACAAAGACAGAAACAGAGATAAAGACAAGAGACAGAGACGAAGAGACAGAGACAGTCAGAAACAGAGATAAAGACAAGAGACAGACAAAGAGACAGAGACAGTCAGAAACAGAGACAAAGACAGAGACACAAGCAGAGACAGAGACAAAGAGACAGAGATTTAAGATGGAGACAGAAAGGTACAGAGCCTGAGACATAGATACTAACAGACAGCAAGATTGACATATAGAGAATGACAAACAGGTAGACCACGCATAATAGAACACAGTATGTGTAGGGCCCATAGGGTTACGAGAAAGAATGGGGGAGGGCGTAGATTAATAATCAGGATAGCCTCCTTTGGTAGGTAGTTTTAAAATTAAGACAAGGGTGATTTGGTTGAAGCTGACGCAACCCAAGTTTGAAAATAGGAGGGGAGGAAGGTGAGAGGGAAGTTCTAGGTCTAGGAGGTCGTCTCCTAATTGAGGTACCCCCAGGAAAAACTGGGTGCAGAATCTCCCCTCTGATGCTCGTCCCTGGCGGGTCAGAAACAGGGAACCAGTCCAAGGTGATAGAAAAAGCTTTAAGCTCTCCTTCTCCACCACTATCTAGTGTTCCCAAGTGCTGTCCCCTCAGCTGTGCCCGCCTCCTGCCCATGCAGGGACCCTCTTCTACCCCAAAGATGCCCTGTGGGGCTTCCGCCTCCCCAGTCTCTGCCTCCCCCAGCCTCGTTCTCCGTCCTCCCTTCTTACCTGGCCCTTCACCAGGCTGGCAGCGAACTGCCTCATGACAGCCTCGACTGTGTAGGCGCTGGACCAGCCCCGGGGGGTGAGCAACTCCATGCAGATGGCTCCCCCGTCCAGCACATAGCCGTTCTCCAGCCGGGGGCTGAGCACCCGCATGAAGGGCGGCGAGAAGGGGAAGTTGTCAGGGAAGGTGAGGTTGAGCAGGATGAACTCGGTGTTGGTCTCTTTCATGTCCTGCCACAACACTGAGTCCTTGTCCACCTGGTGCAGCTTCACGTTCCAGTCGTAGAGGCTCTCGTCCACCAGCTCCACTGAGATGAAGCGGTCGCTCAGCCGGGAGATGTCCTGCAGCTCCTTCATCAGCCGCCGGCTCCTCACCTGGGTACCCGGCTGCCCCCGCCCCATCGGCGCCAGGCTGCCGGCTGCCGGGGTCTGGGCCACCTGCGAGGAGCCCTTCCCGCCTCCGCCCCCGCTGCTGCGGCCGCCGCCCCCGCCCTGCTGCTTGGATTCCTTGGTGGACTGGTTCTCCCTGGAGCTCGCCTGCTTCTCCTTGTGGCCCCCGGAGCTGGACTGCTGCTGTTGCTGCTGCTGTTGCTGCTGCTGTTGCTGCTTGTCCTTGTTGGCCAGCTCCAGCGCTCGCTTGTTCTTGGAGTGCCCGGGGCTGCCTTCGCCACTACCGCCGCTGCAGCCGCCCCCTCCTCCCGGAGCATTCTGCTGCTGCTGCTTGTTACTGTGGTTCTTCTGGTTGCCTTTGCCCCTCAGCGAGGAGCCGCCGCCTCCCCCGCCGCGGCCGTGCTGGCTGCTGCTGTGGAGATGGTTGTGGTGATGTTTGGGGTCCTCCGTGTCCCGGTTGTGCAGCCGGATGAGCCCGATTTTCCGGAGCAGAGTGGCCATCTTAATCTTCTTCTTCCGTGGCTCGGGCGAGCCGGGAGAAAAGCACCCCCTCTTGCCTAGACCCGGGCGACTGACTTGACTTCTTCCCCGGCTGCCGACCTGGAGCGAACGACCCCAGCAGCGGACTCCGCGCTAACCCAGTAGAGCAGGGGAGGATGAGGCGAAGGGAGGCGCACACGCGGCGCGGCGCCGCGCGGAGGGGCGGGGACGCGGGGCTGGAGGACAGGCGGGCGGCGAGAAACTGGACGTCTGGCTGCCTTGGCGGCCGCCGCTGCCGCCACTGCTGTAGGACAACTTGCTTCTTTTCCGTCTGCTCTCTGCCAGCCGGTCAGGAAAGCGGCTCGCGGCGCCGGGGGAAGAAAGCTGGAGCGGGGGCTCCTGGGGCTGCGCAGGAGATGGGGGGCCGGCTGTGACGGCTCCCTCAGAGGCTGCCTCTCCCCACACTCATAGCTGGCAGCATTGCAGCATCTGAGCTAGCAGGACAGGCTCTCTTCGGGTTATTTATTACCACGGTCATATGATTATTCCTCTTCTCTCCTCCCTTCTATTTCTTTCCCCCTTCTGAAGGGAGAGATAGAGGGGGCTGCTGTACCGCAAGTGAGGAGTCTCCTTCCCTCTCGGGGCACTCAGAGGTTGATCAATAGCTGAGCAGCCTAGGCAGGAAGGAAGATGGGGGCGAGGGGTGAAAAGGGGGCTGGGGAGAGAGTGTTGCTTAGCGGGGGGCTACGGCGGCGGGGTGGGGTGGGGTGGGGTGCAGAGATAGTCTTGCTATATCCTAGTCTCCGCAGCGGCTATGAGCGGGTTTCCCGGTTCCTAATTCCTGATTCTTCTTTGTTGTGCGATCCTCAGGCTCTTCACTGGCTTCCGAGAGAGCAGGTCTCGAGCGTGACCGAGCTGGAGGACTGGAGAGAGACTGCGGGCAAGCTCTGCCGTGGGGGGTGTTCGGTGGGGGAGAGGGGAGAGATTCCGGGGTTGTTCTCCCTCCCCCCTGCAAAGTCGTGCCTCGTTCTGCGGGGTGTCCTCCGGGACAGGCAGACTCCGGGGCTCACGCTGTCTCCTGGATGAAAGGAGGAGATGGGCAGTTAGGGTGGCTAATCTCAGCCCCGGGGGCTGCCGCGTTCCTCCGGGAAGCCTAGCTGCGTGTGTACCGACTCCTCGGTTTTAGCCAGGATCTTCCCTGTTTTTTACTGAGTCGCCGCCGCTGCCGCTGCAGCTACTGCTGCTGCTGCCGCCGCCGGTGCGGCTGCTGACATTGCAGAGGCAGCAACTCTCTCTGTGCCCTGTGCAGCGCTGAGGCGCAGGCACTATAGAGGCAGGGGAGGGGAGGAAAGCGGAGGGAGGAGCAGGGAGGGAGGAGTCCTTCAAGTTGCAGTTCGCATATAGGCTGCCTCCGGGCAGCGGTAGCAAGTGTAGCAATCACCAACATCCCATGCCATCTCACCATCGCCACCACCACCAACAATACAGTCGCCTACTGGAGGAGAAGGAAAATGTGTCCCGCAAAGCGCTTTCTTACTTGGTGCACTGTATCCCCAACCGAACCACTCAATCCCAAGCCTAACCTGAATCTCCTTAGAGGAGATAACAGGGGCAGGCCGAACAGTTAAGAAAAACTTGATAACTCCAGTTCCTCCAAATCCTGGAACACAATAGAAACCTTCTACCTGGAGAGGGGAGGGATGATGGGGAGCAGGGAGTGAAAGTGGAGGTCTGCTGTGAAAGGAATAGCGCCATGCAGAAGTAGAAGACCCCGGTTCTCCAGTGGTTCCCAAGATCATAGCATTGAATTTCACTTAACCCAGTTAGAAAAATCAGAAAGGGAAAGGCGTATCGTGAGAGGACTTAAACAACCTGTTTATTGATTCCCCTATCTCATATGGTGCAATATAGTCCTGGATAGCACGTTCAATGGTCCCAAATTATCAGGGGGGAGGGGGAAGAGAGACACTGAAAATAGAGTTTTATGAGAATTGAGTAAAGAATCAATTGGTTCGGACCGGGGAGTGAATATGCTGGGAAGTGTATTTACCACAATTATATTAAATAAAATCCCTTTCAAGTAATTACTTGATGAAAAAATAAATGTTACAGAAATTCATGTCCCTGCCCCCATCTTCTGCTGCGTCCTGAAGAGTTGTGCACTGTTTTCTGGAGATTAGTCTAGCGATTGGGAAGGTACTGCTAGACGCTTCATTGTAAGCCATTTCAGAAAGACTGCAGAAAGCAAACTAACAACGGACTCCTTCTCTGATAAATGCACGTCATCAGACTAAGGTTTAGAATCATTAAACGAACGCTTTTGATCTGAGTAACACATTTCAAGAAATTTTGTAGACATCCTCCTCCGCTTCTAATATGTCTTATTTAGCTGCTCTTAGTCTATTAAATCTTATTTTTGTCCACTGGAATTTCAGGTATCTACTGCATTTTTATAGATAGTTGAAGATTTCCAGTAAAATGGAGGAAAATCTAGAAAATCTGCAGATATATCTCCAATATTTTCACAAGTACCCAATTCATGTCACACTGCCTATGCACCAGTCTGCTTAACAAAATTACTTAATAATGAACTACAATACTAACGATTGAAGCATAGTACAGGCATTATCATAAAGAGCAAATAGGATTAGAGGTCCAAATTCTATTAGGATTTTCACAGTTTGTGGAAGCTGGATTATAAATAAATTACTGTAATATAATATTGGTTTCTTAAGTGCTATGACATTGATTTTTTAAAACCTTGTTACTGTTTTCACCCCCCCCTCCCCAAATTATTTAAAATAGCCAACTCCCCAGACTGTCTGATCAGGTCACTGCAAGAAGCCATTCAAATATGCAAATCTTAAGATTCTGTGTTTCAGTCTTTTCAAGGATTCTAAAATAAGAGATAGTCATCATCGTTTTTAATTAACTAAAATATCAATGACATAATTTAAAAACATTTATTAAGTACCCAAATGTGTCATAGTCAAAGAATTGCATTTCCTATTTGGTCTTCAACCTTGAACATTTTATAATCCCTCATTAGATTGTAAAATCCTTGAGGGCTGGGATTGTTTTTTACTTTTTTCTATAACCAGCATTTAGCACAGTGCCTGAAACGTTGCAGGAGATTAATAAATATTTAACAATTGATTGATAATTCAACTCATTATTATTCATTATGTTATTGATTAGCTAAAAATGAGCTCCTGGTGACACAGAACGTACATGAAACATAGTGCCTGTCTACCATGAATTTACATCTCAATGTGGCCATCATACCTAGAAATATGCAAATATATCAATGGCATATATCTATCCTATAAATCATTTAAAATAAATTTATTTGATACCATTTACTTTTCACATCACAGTCATTTCCAAACCAAACAAATGCAAAGCACTGACCCCTTCCTTGTAACAGCAACAAAAATTAAGCAAAACCAATCACAATTACCACATCTGATAATGTATATAAAAGTTTGCATCCATAATCACACACTTTGCCTAGAAAAGGGAAATTTATTTTTCATTATTTATTCTCTAAGGCCAAGATTGGTTGTTACAATTAATTAGAACTATATTTCTTTTAGAATTCTTTTTGTCAACATTATTGCAGTTCTCCTATATATTCTCTGGGTTCTGTTTACTTTATTCTGCATCAGACTGTATAGGTCTTCCCCCTTAAAAAATAATTCTTGATAACTATCAGAATTATTTCCAGTTTTTGCTACCACAAAATACTAACAATCATTTTTATAAGATACTGTCCCTCCACTGACCTCTGTATTAAAGGGTTCACCAATTTAGATTTGAGGTGATATATTACAAATTAGATTTTAACTGTGAGGTTGTTAAAGTAACTTGCTTGTGTTACTTTATAATCTTAGCTGCTTTTCATTCATGTATTCAATTAACAAACACATCTTCAGTGCTCTGGTGGAGAAAAAAGGAAAGCAAGCCAGCACTATTCTTAAAAGAAATAATTTCTACAAAACATAATCATAATTTATCAGAGTTGTTAGAGGTCCTCCAGTAAAACTCATACATAAAACAAAATTCTGAAATATGCTGACATATTGCATGATGAGTCTTTATTTCAGTTCATACTCTGAGTATTTTTTTTTTAGGCAATTGGAGTTAAGTGACTTGCCCCAGGTCACACAGCTAGTAAGTGTCAAGTGTTTGGTCTGAAGTCACATTTGAACTCAGGTCCTCCTGACTTCAGGGCTGGTGCTTTAGCCACTGCACCACCTTGCCGCCCTATGGGTACTTTTCAAAGAGGCACTAAGACACAAAGTATTATTATGTATCAGGGTTTAGGGTTCAGTCTCTTCGACAGTTAACTTACTCTCTCAGGAAAACAGTCCTCTTAGTTCATTTCTCTTTGTGCCTTACATAGTCTCTCTCAACTTGGCAGTTAACTCTCTCCAGATGAAAATTAAACTATCTTAACTCAAGATTTTATCTCCTCTTACAACACAGCAACAATATCTAAGTCACTGTGAGATGGGTTTTTGAAGGTGAGGTTATAATTATATCATACCCTTTCTCAGATTATCTTAAATATATCTACCCAGCATTATTCTCTTATTCCAGAAGAGACATTCTTTGAGTATTATTTTCTTAGTAGCAGACTTAAACTCCAGCAAGATATTTTTCTCAGACAGTTCAGGATTTATCCAATTTAATCTTATCCAATTAAATTTAATTGGATTAATTAATTTATTGGATTAATGGCTTAATTTAATGGATTAATTAAATATATCCAATTTAATCTAACATATAGTTGCTAAGTGTCTACTATGTACTAGGCACCACAACAGTAGTCTTTAATAGAACCTTGGAATTAGCTATAGTATTGGTGTAATTGGAGGGCTGGTCATTGAATGCCCAGTCCTTCCCCCATCTGCAGTTTTGCCCTTCCTGTTGGTAGGTAGAGTGTTCATCACATTCTCTCCCTGGTTCCAGTCCAACATGTGGAAGTTTCATCTGGGATAAGCTTTGGACCCTTTGAATTTTCATAGGTCTATTAAAGCAATTCTACTCCTAAAACCCTAGTTTTCAGGATCTCCTAGAGAAAAATTAACAGTTTTCCTCCTTTGTTTTGGAGAATAATTTTACAGCTTTCTGATATTTTTCCTTCCAAGTCAGAACAATTCCATCATGATAACT